TCTAAGATGAATGACAGGTTATTCATCCACTAGAATGGAACCAAGTCCAAACAGCACACAAAGAAATTGAATACCCACTATGGTAAATTAACATCTATGCTGTGTGAACACAAACCAGAAAAAGAAAATCCTGATATTGATCATATACATATCTATGCATATATATAATATGCATGTTTGTAAATTATATAACATTAAAAAAAATATATAGAACATTTAAAAAAGTTTTTATCAAGCGTGCTGTCTTGGCGTCATACTTGATTCTGGCCTCACCTTTGAGCCTCACAACCAGTATGTTGTGAAATCCTTTAGATTCCATCTTAAAAAGATAGCCCACATCTGCCCCTTTCTTACACAAGATGCTACCAAGGAGCTTGTCCATGCTCTAGTAATTTCCCGCATGGATTATTGTAACCCTCTTCTAAATAGTCTTCCCAAAAGCCGTATTGCCCCACTACAGTCTGTAATGAATGATGCCAGACTGATTTTCCTCTCTAGTCAGTCCTCTTACACCTCACCCCTCTGTGAGTCCTTACATTGGCTCATACCTATAAAGCACTGAACAATTCTAGCCCTTCTTATATCTCTTTCCAGATCCAAAGGTATGCCCTTTCTTGGTCTCTCTGCTCTGCCCGTGATCTTCTCCTGTCCGCTGCTAGCACGATACGGCCAACTCACGTTTGCAGGAATTCTCGCAGGCAGCTCCCTTCTAATGGAATAGTCTGCCTACCGCCATCAGACTCTCCCCTAGTCTTCAATCACTTAAGAAGTGCCCTAAAGCCCATCTCTTTAGGAAAGCTTATGACCTCACATACCTGTCTCTTGTTCTCGCCTCCAGCTCTGCTTCACTCCCACCTTATTTGATCGCTATTTCCTGTCCTAATGTGTTTTATATCCCACCTCCTATAGAATGTTAGCTCATTTGAGCAAGGTCCTCTTCAACCTATCGTTCCTGTAAGTTTTCTTGTAATTGTCCTATTTATAGTTAAATACCCCCTCTCATATTATTGTAAAGTGCTATGGAGTCTGTTGGCGCTATATAAATGGCAATAATAATATTATACAAAAATACTACAACTATACAAATCTGTATTAATATCCAATGTAAAAATAGTTATTCCTTTTAATAAAATTGACTATAATTGTCAATTAATAGTAATAGAATAATATATTTGTATATCTACAATTGTAGCCCTTATTAAGTGTCACTCATATCCTAAATGTTAACGTGCCACTTTACTATTATTACAAATATTCTGTGTAATGTCCATTTACTTAACACAGAATAGGTTATCTATCTTTGTGGCACCCATGTTGACTTGCCAGAGATTTTATCCAGCTATGTCCAGGGCTAACTTCACAGAAGTATATATACCCGTTTAGTAACCATAGTGAACTGTACGTAACTGTAAATTGTGTCAGTGTCACTGCTTCATTTAGGATATTTGGACTTAACTCACTTTCCCTGACCTAGTAGTATCTTGGTTGTTTTGATTTAGCTTCAAGACTGGGCAGCTTGACTTTAAATAAACTGACAGGAACTGGCCCTTGTCTCTGGTTTTCATTAATTAATATGATTAGATTAACATTTAATATCCTTATTAGACAGGCACATCACTGTACACTATAATTAAACTTGAGGTTTATGAATACAAAATAAAAATTGTGCACCCTCTTGTGGTCACAACGGGCAATACAAAAGAAATATGTAAATGGTTATTTATCATTTATATACAGAACTGCCAATGCTTGACATAATTAACTTGACTGTCTTAAAGGAACACTATAGTCACCTAAATTACTTTAGCTAAATAAAGCAGTTTTAGTGTATAGATCATTCCCTTGCAATTTCACTGCTTAACCCCTTAAGGACGGAGCCAAATGTACACGTAGTGAACAAAACAAAATGTAAACAAAACCTGGCATTTACGCTACATGTCTGTCCAACCATAATTCACCTCTTTCATAGTAAATGCACCCACCCTTATTATATATCATTTTATTCAGGGGAAACAGGGCTTTCATTTAATATCAAATATTTAGCTATGAAACATAATTTAATATGAAGAAAATGGGAGAAAATAAGAATTTCTTTTTTTTTTTTTATAGTTCTACATGACATTTTAACTGTCAATGTCATTATACTAAAGAGAGAAAAGAATAAGGGTGCGCCTTTCATTCTTTTCTCTCTTTTCTATTGTACTTTAAGGGGTTCAGAGGGGATTCCCCTTTTAAGGTGTGCTGCCTTGTTATTATACTCCCTGTTTCTTATCAGCGCTGAACCTTTTCCCTGATTTCTATCCTATTAATGTCATTATACTGTTTGCTTTTACTGCAATAAAATACACATATTTGTATTCAGAAAAGTCTCACGTGTAAAACAGTACCCCCTATGTACAGGTTTTATGGTGTTTTGGGAAGTTACAGGGTCAAACACAGCACGTTACATTTGAAATTGAAATTCGCCAGATTGGTTACGTTGCCTTTGAGACTGTATAGTAGCCCAGGAATTAAATTTACACCCATAATGGCATACCATTTGCAATAGTAAACAACCCAAGGTATTGCAAATGGGGTATGTCCAGTCTTTTTTAGTAGCCATTTGGTCACAAACACTGGCCAAAGTTAGCGTTAGTATTTGTTTGTGTGTGAAAAATGCAAAAAACGCCAATTTTGGCCAGTGTTTGTGACGAAGTGGCTACTAAAAAAGACTGGACATACCCCATTTGCAATACCTTGGGTTGTCTACTATTGCAAATGGTATGCCATCATAGGGGTAATTTTCATTCTTGGGCTACCATAGGGTCACAAAGGCAACGTAACCAATCTGGCGAATTTTAATGTGAAAAAAATGAAACACAAGCCTTATATTTGACGCTGTAACTTTTGAAAACACCATAAAACCTGTACATGAGGGGTACTGTTGTACTCGGGAGACTTCGCTGAACACAAATATTTGTGTTTCAAAACAGTAAAAAGTATTGCAGCAATAATATCATCCGTGTAAGTGCTGTTTGTGCGTGAAAAATGCAAAAAACTTCACTTTTACTGGCGATATCATCGTTGTAATACATTTTACTGTTTTGAAACACTAATATTTGTGTTCAGCGAAGTCTCCCGAGTAAAACAGTACCCCCCCATTTACAGGTTTTATGGTGTCTTGGAAAGTTATAGGGTTAAATATAGTGCTAGCAAATTAAATTCCCTATACTTTCGGCATGGGTTGTCAGGCAGGTCCCGCTAATTGTAATTAATTAGGATACCTAATTATGTAAAAATATTACATAAATATATGTGTAGAATTAATATATGTATATATATACATATGTGTATATATACATATATATATATATAATTTTTTTAAATATTTTTATTTATATATAGGTGTATATATTTAGTGATATATATGTATATATTTATGTATATAGATATATATATTATTTCGTTCTACGTGTATTTTGATATAAATATATATATATTAATATCACAATACAGTTAGAACGAAATAACAAACATCTATATATTTTTTTATTATTTATTTTTAATTATTTTTTTAATTTTATTTTTTTTACGTATTTACATTTTTTTATATATATATATATATATATATATAACAATAATATATATATATATATTTAATCAGTATTAGTCTACGTGTAATTTGATAGTAATATATATATAAATAATTATATATATTAATATTTAAATACACTTCGTGTATGTGTAAATGTGTGTGTGTGTGTGTGTGTGTGTGTATATATATATATATATATATATATATATACTTAGATCATATATATATATATATATATATATATATATAATATATATGATCTAAGTATATTTTATTTGTAACTGTAATTTTTTTTAATTTTTTTTTAACTAATATATATTTTTTTTTTTTACAGGAGAGGGGGCAGAGACAGTGTCAGACAGTGATTTCACATCACTGGCTGACACACAGGATCAGTGATCACAGTGACTGCCTGTCACTGTGATCACCTCCTGCAGATTGGGTAATTGACCACACGGGGGAGTGCCTGGGTGGTACAAGCACTCCCCCCTACCAATCTGCAGGGGGATCATTGCGCCTGTTACATGTGTCAGCCATTAGGCTGACACATGTAACACTGATCGCAGTGACAGGCTGTCACTGCGATCAGAGCGCTCTGAGATCACAGTGACAGCCTGTTACTGCGATCTCAGACTTAGCAGATCGCGTACACTGACCCCAGGGGGACTGCCTGGGGGGCCAGGTAAGTCCCCCGACCGCGATCTGCATAGCAGAAAGCCGCCGGCCATGATTTGAAATCGGCTGACACACGTTAAATACTGATCGCAGTGACAGCCTGTCACTGCGATCAGAGACTGCAGATCGCGGTCACCGGCCACATGGGGGGTTGCCTGGGGGGCCAGGCATCCACCCCGACCGCGATCTGCAGCGGGCGATTAGCGCCGGCCACGTGGGCGGCCATTATAGCGAGGGCGTACTATTACGCCCGCAGGCGTTTAGAGCCGGCTCCTGCAGGGCGTAATAGTACGCCCTGCGGATTTAAGGGGTTAAACATGACATTGATGTATACGAAAAATTATCAAAAGACCCAACATCTTGTATACAACAAAAACGTATTACCTTCCTACAAAAGGGCTTAAAAGAAAATATCTTAAATAAAAAAGAATTTGATTATTTATTCATAAAAAATCCCAAAATTGTAATTGTTATTGTAATTAAAATTGTTATTGTATTTTTCTTTCTTTATTTCATTATTTATTTTATTATTTCATTCCCCCCATTTTTTTATGGCCGGCTCCTGCAGGGTGTAATAGTACGCCCTCCGGAGTTAAGGGGTTAATTCACTATCATTTAGGAGTTAAATCACTTTGTTTCTGTTTATGCAGCCCTAGCCACACCTCCCCTGGCTATGATTGACAGAGCCTGCATGGAAAAAAAAAACTGGTTTCTCTTTCAAACAGATGTAATTTACTTTAAATAATTGTATCTCAATCTCTAAATTGAACTTTAATCACATACAGGAGGCTCTTGCAGGGTCTAGCAAGCTATTAACATAGCAGGGGATAAGAAAATCTTAATTAAACAGAACTTGCAATAAAGAAAGCCTAAATAGGGCTCTCTTTACAGGAAGTGTTTATGGAAGGCTGTGCATGCAGGGAGGTGTGACTAGGGTTCATAAACAAAGGGATTTAACTCCTAAATGGCAGAGGATTGAGCAGTGAGGCTGCAGGGGCATGTTCTATACACCAAAACTGCTTCATTAAGCTAAAGTTGTTCAGGTGACTATAGTGTCACTCCAACTACTCCAAGAGTGTGCATGACGTAGTTGTGGTGGTGAAAGGGTTAAAGTTCACTATTTGTCTGCACTAGACCGGAAATAATGACAAAATCCCCCTTAACACCACCCACACTTAAACATAATATAACTATTACTATTTTAACGCTGACACCACCAAGACAATTTATAAATGGGGTGCCTTGGTCCCCCAGATAAATCAATAATAAAACCCACCAAATATTACTTAATACAATATTTAAGGAATTACAGAAATACTAACTAGTCTCTTCAGGTAACGTGATTCTTAACCAGACAAAGGCAAAACTTAATAAATTAATGTTTATTATGAGCAAAAGATAGTCACAGTGCATATAACAATATATGATAAAGAAATTATTTACACCAACAACAGATAAAAACAAAAAGGATAAAATACAGAAGTCCTAATTACTCACTTAGGTTTTCAAAGTACAACTTATGTCCAGGGGGTCTCTGGCAAGGAAAGATGGTGACTCACTCAAAATTAGATCTTGGCCCCAAGCAAGTACACCAGCACCCTTCAGGATCACAGGAGATATACCCTGTAAATTACCATGCCTCACCCAGGGGTGGAGCCAAGGCGTACCTATAGAGATACTAAGTGACCACCTCCTTTGTTCCAGAAAACAACAAGCCACATATAAACTTTTGGTTTTACCTCCTCTACTGTACTTGCCACAGAAATAGTAATTGCCTCTATGAATTTGTTATTGTTTTCCCATTCCATAGACATGTTGCACGCCCCTCCCACGATCCAATAGGGTGGACATCACAATTCCTGCCACACGGTTTAAGTTGTGCAACTCATGTTTAGGCTTAATTAAGAGATTGGGTTTATTCCATTCCAAATATAATAAAAAACGAGGCTTAATTATTAACCTGTGGGTAAGTATTAATGTTTCCCTTGGATAAGATACTGGAACACAAGGATCTTCATGAAACTAATCCCATTACCATATCAAAGGATTGAACTATCCTTTACAAGGTACATGCCAAATGGATGAAGAGACATTCAGACTTTTTCCAAGTGTAGAACCTTGCAGAACCTTGGTTACTTCACATCCATATAATAAAATCCTTTTCCCATTCCTATGCCATTCATACTACCCCTCTGTCATCTGACCTCTGTGGGGGTCCCAGCTTCAAAAGATGTAACCCCTGTTGACCTCAACAATAGCATCTCTGTAATGTGTGCCATTTACTACACAAATTACATTTAAGGATGATATTCCATAGTGTAATAATAAATTATACACCCTTGCCATGACAGTGTCCCTTTAACAAAACTGATATATTGGGTTCGGACAGCCCAGCTCTCCTTAATATAACCTAAAAGGGAATACATCAGGTGAATCACAATGTAAAGATGAAAGTGTTCTGGTTATAGAACAATCAAACACAGCTTACATTGAAAATATATATATTTATGCTTTAAAAAAAATGTATATTACATTTGGGGGTGAAATGGAGTATATCGAATTCACTATGTTTTCTGGTCACATGAAACTCTCATACTAAGGTAATCATCAACATTTAACAGACCAAAAGGGGGCGGGGTCTGACCGCTATACTGAACGGTAGCACTTAGTGTGAGCTATCTGAAAAAAAATATAGAATTAAGCAAATAAATCAACCCATCACCCAAGTATGCCCAACAAATTCCTGTTGCAGACACTCTGCAGCACATTATGAGGCGTTTAGATACCCGACTGGTGGTCTTACCTCGAAGCATCTCTGAGGCTTACATGTGGGGGCAGCTGGGAAGAAGCAGACAATCTCCCTGCTGATCATCCAGACCCCCATCAAGCTCGGGCGCAGTAGCCAGAAAGAGCAGTTCTGCTACACAATTGGCTGGTGTCAAAGTGGGTGTTACAAACACTCACTTTGACACTGATCTCTGCCTCTCTCCCCTCTGTAGCGTTTTGTGAGAGGAGAGAGACAGAGATCCTGATAGTTTGTTGCAGCAGCTGTTCCTGTGAAAAATATAAAGTATCTGCAGTTAATAAAAAATCCCTTTTAACCCCTTCCCTGCCAGATCTGTTACAGACAGTGCATTTTTACTGTCTGTATTTTTTTTTTTGCCCTTAAGGGTTAACTTTATTTTAAAAAATCTGTGTCTTAGACTGTCTTAGACTGTCTTAGACTGTCTTAGAGTCTAGTCGTAGTCTGTTTTAGTCTAGTCTGTCGTAGTCTGTCGTAGTCTGTCATAGTCTGTCATAGTCTGTCATAGCCTGTCGTAGTCAGTCAGTTTCCTTCCCCCAAATCTCCATTAGATTCTTCTAACAGGAGTTAGTTTAGGGATTACTGTTTTAGTCTGTTTTAGTCTGTTTTAGTGTTTTAAAAAAAAAAAAAAATATTGTGTTTAGTATTTTGTTAGTTTAGTCTGTTGGTGTGAAACATGCAGCGCATGTACAGCTTGGAGGAGGCATATGCCTTCTTGGCGTCAGACTCTGACGCCACTGACACTGCGTCCGATTTTGACCCAGGTCAGTTTAGCGGCACGTCTAGTGACATGTCATCTGTGAGTGAGCCAGCTGCTAAAAGAAGCTGTGCTTCCCCTGCTACGCTGAATGTGGAGGAGGACTGGGTACCTCCACAGTTAGCTGAGCCCAACATCCCCCCTTTTAGTGCCAACGCAGGCATTAATGTGAATGTGGTTGACTTCTCCCCTATACAATATATGGAGTTATTTTTAGGGGATACCATCTGGGAGGAGATTGCTTCCCAGACTAATTTATACGCTAGCCAATTTATTGAGACCAATCCAGGTAGCTATACAGTCAGGGAGCATGCTTGGCATCCCACAGATGTCCCTGAACTTAAAACATTCTGGGCTCTTACCATGCTCATGGGGATAATAAAAAAGCCATCAATCCGGTCTTACTGGAGCACCAACCCAATTTGTTCGACTCCTATATTCTCCCAAACAATGCCTAGACCAAGATATGAGCTGCTGCTCAGATACTTACATTTTAACGACAATACGCTCTGTCACCCCAGAGATCACCCCCAATATGATAGGCTTCATAAAATACGCCCACTGGTAGACCATCTTCAGAACAGATTTTCTGAAGTTTATACTCCCCAACAAACTTTATCCATCGATGAATCCCTTATGAAATACAAAGGGAGATTAGGGTTCAAACAATATATCCCCTCAAAGCGGTCTAGGTATGGCATTAAAGTGTACAAACTTTGCGAGAGCGAAAGTGGCTACACATTTGCCTTCCGTGTATACGAGGGGAAAGATGCTCAACTGAACCCTCCTGGCTGTCCTGACTCTCTGGGGACAACTGGGAAACTTGTTTGGGACCTACTGAACCCTTTGTTCAATAAGGGTTACCACCTTTATGTGGACAATTTTTACAGCAGTGTCCACTTGTTTAAAATTCTTTATAGTTTACAGACACTGGCCTGCGGCACTGTAAGAAGAAATGCCAAGGATTTTCCCAGACCTCTCATAGAGGCCAAATTAAAAAAAGGGGAATGCAAAGCTCTGCGCAAGGCTGAACTGCTTGCGCTAAAATTTAAGGACAGGAAGGATGTTCACATGATAACAACCATCCATAACGAGGGCATGTCAGACGTCACTGTCCGAGGCAGGGTACAGACAAAACCGGTGTGCATCAGGGCTTATAACAGGCACATGGGGGGTGTTGATTTGGCTGATCAGCTGATGCAGCCTTATCTTATCTTAAGAAAGACAAAAGCCTGGTATAAAAAGGTGGCTATCTACCTGTTGCAAGTAGCAACACATAATTCATTTTTACTTTTTTTAAAAATGAATCCAGGAAGAACCACCTATCTCCAATTTCAGCTCAAGCTGATTTCCACAATAATTTATGGAGATGGTCAAGTTCCAACGACAGTGCAAGAGTCGTCTAGACATTTTATTTTTAAGATACCGCCAACACCAAAAAAAAGAAACCCCCAGAAACGTTGCCGGGTCTGTTATAAAAAAGGGAAAAGGACAGACACCCCTTTTCACTGTCCCGATTGCCCTACAAAACCTGGACTGTGTATTGGAGCATGTTTTAAGGTCTACCACACAGAAAATACATTTTTATAATACTTGTTCCTGATTTATTTTTTTTGTTTATTTTGAAAGCAGCAAATTTCTGTTAGTCAGTATCCTTCCCCCAAATCTCCAGTTAGATTCTTTTTGCAGGAGTTAGTTTACAGATTGCTGCTAACAGAAGTTTTAGTCTCATTTAGTCTGTTTTTATCAGTTTTAGTCTGTTTTTAGTATAAAATAAAAAAAAATTGTGTGTTAGTAACTCTGTGTTAGCCAGACTCTGACGCCACTGACACTGCGTCCGATTTTGACCCAGGTCAGTTTTCTGACATGTCATCTGTGTGTGAGCTGGCTGCAAAAAGAAGCTGTGCTTTCTCTGCTACGCCGAATGTGGAGGAGGAACAGGTTTCTCCACAGTTAGCTGAGCCCCAAATCACCCCTTTTAGTGCCAACACAGGCATTAATGTCAATGTGGATGACTTCTCCCCTATGCAATATATGGAGCTATTTTTAGGGGATACCATGTGGGAGGAGATTGCTCCCCAGACTAATTTATATGCTACCCAATTTATTGATACCAATCCAGATAGCTATGCAGTCAGGGAGGAGTGTGCTTGGCATCCCACAGATGTCGCTGAACTTAAAAAATTCTGGGCTCTTACAATTCTCATGGGGATTATAAAGAAGCCATCAATTTGCTCTTACTGGAGCACCAACCCAATCTGTTCTAGTCGAGTGTACTCTCAAACCATGTCTAGAACAAGATTTGAGCTGCTGCTGAGATACTTACATTTCAATGACAATACCCTCTGTCACCGCAGAGATCACACCCAATATGATAGGCTTCATAAAATACACCCACTGGTAGACCATCTTCAGCACAAATTTACTGAAGTTTATACTCCTCA